TAAGTTCGGATTGACTGGTCCATAAAAGAATAAAACCCGCAAACATGTCTGGCAGTATGGCTAAGCGATAATCCGTGACCCTCTCGAGGCAGCTTCTGCTCCATGGGGGCCAAAGGGAGGCCATTCAGAGACGATAATAACAGCATATGAGCTCACAGACAAGAGGGCTGTCTCTGCAGCTGGTGTCCTTTGTCAGTCTAGGACAGATCACGAGTGACTACTGCCCCAAGGATTAGGACAAGGGTGGGCTGAGGCTTCTCTTCTCTGCCTGGGATAGAGCTCAGGAATGCAGAATGACCAGGTCTGCTCCCTCAATGAGAGGCTGCATAGCTTCCCCCTCTGACACCCACTTACTACATCCATGCCCTCCCGCTGTACTCCTAAACTGAGTTTCAATCTGCCTGACTGGGGCAGGGCTGCTCACTCTGCAGTGTCTCAGAGTTGCAAAAAAAAAAATTCTAGAATGATATCATCCACAGCCTACCTGCAGAGAACTGTTTGGTAGAGGGTCCCATTTCCATTTTTCCCCCTGAGAATCCAGTGGCCTATCCAAACCACTGTGCCCACTAAATCAGTGAAACTGGCATAAGGAAGCTGAGGCCTGGGCTGGCAGCGCTTAGGCAGCCTGTGTCTCTGTGTTGTCCCTCAGGCTTTGTAGAAACCATCAGGACAATGTGGTGGAAAAAGTAAGACGGTGTAAAGATCAGAAAGTTGGGCGCAAATGACATCATACCAATCCTTGACACTTCTCTCTGGAAATGTGCCAGTCAGGATTCCTACTTTGTGTTAACATCATCGGAAAAACCTGAGTCAGCAGAGCAGCATTCACTCAAGAGACCATCTTTGACAGCTTCTGTGGGTGAGAATCTAGCCAGGGATGTTGTCTGAAGACTAGGTATTGCGGGTGAGCAAGGGGCCACAGGCTACCCTGCACCAGCACCAGCCCTCCATGCATGAAGGCTATCATATCCCCCTTGCACTTACTCAAGCTCTCCTCCAGCCTGACCTTCTGTTACCTTCTTGACTCCTGGTAAGTGTCCATTCTACTTTCAGGTCTTCAGTCTCTGGCCTTGATCATCCTCTTCAGCACACTTCTAGAGCATGTTTGAACAATATGCTTCTTCATCTCCTGGACCCTAGGCCCAACCCCTCACTCTGAAGGGTGGTTATCATCTTTTCTGAGTTCTCTGTGGAATCCAGCATACTGAAGAATTCCCAGCATGCATCTGTCCCAAGGTCGCTGCTGTCTCTACTCCTCTGGGCATTATCTTATAATGATCTCCCCATCAAATCTAGGATGATGCTCCTATCTTTTAAGGTCACTCTGTCTTCATTCCTTTCCTTTCTTCCTCTACCCTCTTTTCCATGTGTCCTGGCCTCTTCACTGACTGAATACAACTTCTAGGCAGAGGGTCTTCAAGTCTTTATCTCTAAGCTCCAAGTCTTCATCTCAGATCAATTCCCACTAGGGTTTAGATGTGACGTGGTTGGCCTCCAAGGGTTCATGTATTGGCAAATTCATCCTCTGTGTCAGTGTTAACAGATATAGGGACCTTCAAGCCAGTGGGGGAGGAAGTCCTTATCAGCCCTTCTCAAAGCTCTGGCTTTCTATCTGATAATGTTCCTTTTTACATAGACTCCTTCCATAATACCATCCACCACGGAGCACACAGATGGAGGGTCTTACCAGAGTCTGCACCATGTTGCACTTTCAGTCCCCCAAATAAATCTTTTTTAAAAATATCTTATTTATTAGTTTTATTTAATGTGTATGACTGTACTGCCTGCATGTAGGTAAGTGCAATGCTTTCGGAGGTCAGAAGGTGTTGGATTCCCTGAAACTGGAGTTAAGGACAGTTGTTAGCTACCACGTGGGTGCTGGGAATTGAATCTGGGTCCTCTGCAAGAGTAGTCAGTGCTCTTAACCACTGAACCATCTCTCCAGCCCCCAAATAAATCTCGTTATAAGTACCCAGACTCAAGTATTTCTTTAATAGCACATTAACACAATTGCTGACTCACATTCTTTTTTTTTATTGTTAAATCATCACTCTGCTTTATCAATTTGCTACCTCCTCAAACTCAGGAAACATCAAACCTACCTTCTTACCTCTTGCCGCTCTTTCTGATACAAAGTAGACAGTTCTCTAGGCCATCTTCTGAACTCATCTCCCTCCTAGGGACCAGCAAGTTCCCACAAGTACCTCTCTCTTGGCCCATTTCACCTGATGCTCTGTATTACCTGTAATAGTAATACTACACACACAGTAGCCAAGATGACAGTGGCCAATATTTATCAGACATCAATCATTCTGAAAATCTGCTGTGCATTAAATTAACTGACCTTTCAACAATGCCTTGATGGTTGTCCCAAGATTATGCTCTCTACAACTGGAAGCACCATCTCCATAATCTGCCAACCTCAGTGCTGTGGGGACTTGATGAATACTCCACTCAAAGAGTTCCGCAACTGGCCAAACGCAGAGAATAAGTGTCTGTGAGACACCTACCTCTAAGTGACACATATATAACACAATCTCTACAGACCTAAGGCTCAAGAAACAGTGGAACAAGGGACAGAAAGAATATCAATGCATCTCTCAACTATCACCAGTTAAACTTCCTCATGCAACAGATGGTGATTAACACAGAAAGCTGCAACTGGCTAAAGTGCATAGAATGAGACTGTAGAACAGGTAAGATACCTGTATCAGACCACTGCCACCCAGTGGCTCAGGGGCCATTGTGGAAGAAGGGGCAGAAAGACTGGAAGAGCCAGGGGTGGTGGAAGACCACAAGGAAACAGAGTTTTCCAGGATGCTGGGAAGTTGCTCATGTACACTTATAGCAATGGTGACATCATGTACACCACACAAACTCAAACCAGACAAAAACCTAGCATGGAAGTGGGGAAGACACTCCAACCTTAGCTAAGAAACTGTTGGTAACCAATGACTACTGGGAGAGGGAGAGCTGGTTTTCTTTAAGGGAATAAAGTGGCCAGGCTCCAGTGGATGAACTCACAATGAGGGACATTTGGGGCACACAAACTTGACTTGATAGGCCTTAACATATATGACAGAATGCATGAAATCCAGTGTGGGGACTATGGGGAGTGCAGATAGAGGAAGGGATCTAAATATGATCAAAATGTATTGTATGAAATTTCCAAAAATTCAATAAAATTTTCTATACACAAAAAGAACACCCCCCTCCCCAAAATTGATAGTTCACTGCAAGTCCTTGGAGGAAGGATGGAAAGTGCCTGATGCAAGACTCAGTCCCCTTTAGTGTGAACCCAGCCCTGCATCAGGCAATGAATATGTGAACAACTGTCTGAGTTCATGAGCATTATGTCATTCAGTGGCCTCCTCCAGGACCCTGAAGGAAATAAAGGGATCTGAGACCAGGGGTAAAGGAACAGTCTTTGGAAAAGAATCTTCTATCTTCTCCCCTGTGCTGGATAGCTTTAGTGTCAACTTGACACACCTGGGTTGAGGGAGCCTCAACTGGGGAATTACGTTCATTGGCAGGGCCTGTGGCCATGTCCATGGGGGCATCTTCTTGATTATTGAGTGATGAGGGATGGCCCAGCCGACTGTGGGTGGTGCCACCCCTGGGCAGGTGGGCCTGTGTTGCATAAGAAAGCAGGCTGAGCAGGGGCCAGGGGAGCAAGCCAGTAAGTAGCATTCCTCCATGACCTGTGCTCCAGCTCCTGCCTCCAGGTTCCTGCCTTGAGTGCCTACCTTATGCTCCCTGATGAACTGTGACCTGGGAGATGTAAGACAAATAAATCCTTTCCTCCCCAAGTTGGTAGTGGTCAGAGAGTTTTGTCACAGAAACGGAGAGACAAACAAGGACATTCCACTCCTCTTTTTACTGAGTTGGCAACATAAATTACCCCAATGGGAGCAATGCCCTTAGAACATACTCCTCAGAGGCTGCTATTTCAAGTCAGGATGTCTTCGTTACCTGGCACCTGCTCTCTGTAGCTGACCTGTGTCTGGGGCTACACAGTGGCCCTGGGATTGGTGCTCTATGTGTGAACTCCTAACAGCTGGTTAAGGAGGACTGGGGAAGATGGTCCAGGAGTCAATAGAGACCAGAAAACCCCTACACTGGGCAGGAGCCTGACATTAAGTGCGTGCTCAGGGATCTTAATGAGTTTTTCTCTCACAGAAAAGGTCCAGTGGCACATCACCACAGTCTGATCCTGTCCTTTTCACCTGCTTCGCTCTCTAGGAAACCATTTCTCCCAGCTCCAACCTGCAGCTCAGCAACTCCATCCTACACAGTGCTCTCATCCGTTGTTTTCCCTACACAAACTTTATTACTATTATGGAAATTTCCAAACAGATATAAGCAGAAAGAATGGCATAATAACCCCTGTGTTCCATGGAGTCATGGCCCAGCTTTACCAGTTACCAACACATGGTCGATCCTGGGCCATCTATGTATCTTTGGTCTTTCTGCTTTGGAACAAGAAGGGGGCTGAGCAGTTAGACACACCAACTTATTTTTCTACTATCTCTCTGTTATTCTAATTAGAATGACATAATTATGAAGGCAGGAATTATCTGTTTGTCACTACTTTGTAGCCAGTGTGCTAGCCAGGACCCAGCGCACAGTAAATACTCAATAAACAGTTACTGAATGAATGAGAAGGAATGAGCTTCTACCAAGGTTCTTCTTGCCTGGCTCTGATTTTCACTTTTTGAGGTTAGGTGTAAATAAACAGCCACAAGCCTCTTGTGCCTTGTCAGCCCTCACACTTCTATGAGGGAAAATCAGTCACTCCTCATTACAGCTGCATTGACACGTTCTTATTGCTGATGGGCGCTAATGAACTAGTCCCAAGAGCAGCCAAGAATAACACTGGACAACCTTGCCAAAAGGCTATGCTATGTAGAAAGGATATCCAAAGTCATGCTGTAGATGTATGTTTCTGTGTGCATGTGTTTATCAAAGAATGACAAGCAGAGAAGACGCATGATACTCACATGCAGCCACGAAATCTACTCAGGTCATTGTTTGGCTTCTCACACTCGATTACGCTGGTAAACGTCAAAGGGTTGAATTCTGAGACCTGAAATAACAGCACACACACATTAGAGAAACCTGGGCTCCAGTCGCCTTAGTCTGCAAGGCACCTGATCATCTGCTTCAGTCCACGACAAGGACACATCATAACTCTGCCTTCCAATCTTTGTAGATGCCAATGCATAGAAAGGCACTTTACCTGTCCGTTCTTGTTTTTAGAATGAATAATAACTTCATTTTAGTTATGAACAGCAAGTAGTGGAATGGTAGTGGTGAGTGTATAAGAATAATCAGCTCTAACACAAAATAAGAGGAGCGATAGCACCACGGAAAGTTGCCAGTGATGGAAAAGAGATAAGTGAGGTTTTCTGAGACAGATCAGCTCCTTCCTATTTTCTACACCAGTTTGGAGAAGCAAATACCATCTGAAAAACAGGAATTTATACTAAAATCCCATTTCCTCAATGCACAGTAAAAACCAGTAAAAATTCTTCATTGTCCTTTGTTGGAAAAGATTTATACAGCCAAGTCTAAGCCAACAATTCAACAATTTTGTTATAATTCTGCTCCAATAAAAAAATGACAGCTCACTGAACCAAAATCTTTCCTTTTCCATTGATAGATAGAACCAGACCTGGGTCCTCTGAAGAGCGCAGAAGTGGAAGAAGCAAAGGGAGACAACAAGGAGGGAAATGCAGGGAACAAGCCTTAGACAGCTGAGGACACCAAGGGGTTCCTTTTTTATCAGCCCTCTGGTGAGACTCATTCGATATTCTCTGTCAAGTGTCACAAAATGGTAAATCGTTGAATGGTCTTTGCTCACATATACACCACTGGAAAACAGTGCAGATGGCTGAAAAGCATAGAAAGGGCAAAGGGACCACTGACATCAGTCCAGGTAATTATTGTTCCACCAAAACAACATATCTCCCTGTGCAGAATCAGTGATAGAGGTGGCTTCTCAAAAACCACATCTTACTGTGCTCTGGTGTGTCATATACATGAAAAGGACTTGCTTGGCAATAGTAGCCCAGTACAATAGCTGGGATTGAAATGCAGTGTTTAAAATTTTATTTATTTTTCAGTGCTATGGATCAAGCCTCCAGCTTCACATATGCTATATAGATGTTTTACCATTGAACTCTGCCCCCGACCCATGGAATGCCATTTACAAAGGCTTTTCTTGAAATATTGTAGTCACCAGTCTCTCTCCCTAACTGACATGGCCTTGTACTCCATTTGCAGAATGAGGCTGTGTTTCCTAGTCTGGTGTTTATATAAAGCTGTGTGAATTATCGTGAAGCCAGAGGACTGCTTTTTCCAGAGCAGACATTAGTAGATGCAGAGTACAAGGCAGCCACGAAGGGAATGGGCTTCCATACAACACCAGGATTATTTTCGGCAGATAAGAAGGTAGGACTTAAAATACTCTGTCTCTATTTATTATTCTTTCTCTCTATGAAAAAAATGTAATGTGCATAACTTGGAAACAGTAGAACATTCTGTCTCTTGGGCATCATCGCTACATTTGTAATGTTCTGCCCCAATCCCTTGCCTTGGGAAACTACATGTTCAAGGCACAGATGTGTGACTTCATCAGAACTGGGGAGAATATTTATAACTGGAGGGATCTTCGGAGTCTGCTATGGGCTGAACTGTGCTCCCCTCATCCATTGAATTCATATGCTGGACTCACAACTCCAGAAACACAGAATGTACCTGCATTTTGAGATAGGGCCTTTACAAAAGAAATTAAGCTAAAATGAGGCCAAGAGGGTAAACCTAATCCAACGGGACCCGGTGTCCTTATAAACAGGTATATAGGGCACACACAATGGGGAACAGCCATGTGAAGACACAGAGAAAAGATACACAAGAGAGAGAGGCCTTAGGAGAAACCTAACGTGCTGATGCCTTCGACTTCCACTTTCTAGAAGTGTGAGATGATAAATGTCTGTCAGTTAAGCTTTCTGGTCTAAGGCAGCCCCAGAAAACTGACAGGGATCACTTTCTTGTTCCTCATTTGAAAAGGCAGAGAGGAGAAAAGAGAAACAAAAGAGTAACTTTCACACCCAGAACTTCCGATTTAGAGGATAAAACGTCCATTTGCATTGGTAACTTAAATGGTAACTTCTCACAATGGGTAACTGGATAAAATTCCTTCATCCAAGTTATCTTCCATCTCCTCATCTATCCACATGTCCTATTTCAAAGTACCTTCAAGGTCATGCTTTGAAGGGTTAGGGTTAGGATTAGGGTTACGGATATGCATCAGCCAAACTTATATAAGCACTGCTCCCCCAGAGCGTGGATCCTAATCCATCCTACTGTGCTAGACATTAACTTCAGTTTTTAAAAAGTAGATACAGCTGGGGAAGATGGGGACATTCTGGAGACCTTGCACAATGTGAATGAACCTAACAATGGATAACACAGTAAATTCTGTGTACATTTTCCCACAACAAACGGATTTAAGAAGCAGATATAAACACTGAGAAATGAGTGTGAAAAGCATTATTTAGCAGAACGCAGCACAGAAGTCTGGGACTTTTCAGGACAACTGTAAAAGTGAATCACATGCAAGTCATTTTTTTTTTTTTTCTTGGTGTTGGCCATTAATTCCTGGGCTTTAGGCATGCTGAACTTGAAGTCTACCACTGAGCTACATCATTGTCTTTGCAGTATGAGAAAAGAGTCACCTTTTTGGGCTATTAATGAATAGGTCTTTGTATGTAGGTATTTTGCCTGGCTTTACCTCTTCTGCTTTTATTTTTTAATTTAGTTTTGTTTGCTTTTGGTTTGGTCTGGGGACTGACCACAAAGCATGGATCACACTTAGAACATGTTCTCTATCCTGAGACATATTCCCAGCCAGGATAAAAAGTCCCATTGTATTAGGGACTTTGAGGTCTTCATTGTCAACCCAATTACAAGTGTTTAATAACTTTAAAATACCTGGTATCGTGCTATGTGCAGTACTAGCTCAGAACTCTGCTGGGAGGTCAGTTATTTTTTTTTTTAATGAGGCATAGTTGGAAAGGAAGAGGCGAGGTGGTGATACAGCGAACTCTCATCCCTTGAGATTCTGTTAGAGGTAGGGAACCAAGTCACCAAAGCTCTTTTCTTTCAGAGATAGCCAGAGTAGGTTTCCTCCAAATGCTTCACCTCTCCTCTATATACAACAGGTATCTGTGCAGAGACTGTGTGCCCCTTTTCAACCACAAAAGGAGGCCCATGTCTACTCCAGCAGAGCTCCAACTGAGTTATATACATTCTAGACTCACAGACAAGATTTTTTACCAGTCTTGCAGAGGGGGCCCCCATATCCAAGGCTCTGCACCCACAAAGTCAATCAAACTCAGCCAAGACAGGATTGAAAATATTTAAGAAAAAAAACTGTACATAGTTTGTTTTCCTGACAATATTCACTAATCAATACAGCATAACCATTTACATAATGTTTGCACTACAGTAAGCCTTCTAAATTATCTAGCGATGATTTAAAGTATTTGGGAGGATGTACTATGAAAATATATTCCATTTCATACAAGGGACTCAAGCACCTGCAAATTTTGGTATACTCCTCAGGGTGGGTAACTTTGGAGTCAATTCCCAACAGATCTTACCAAAGTAAGACTGTATTTCACACTTGCATTAATTGAATTACTAATAATTATTCAACCAAAGCAAAGCAGATTTTCTGCATCTTAAAACAGAAGCAATGATATCTGAAAGGACATTCACAGTTCATTAGTGCAGAGGTTATTCTTTCTCTATCATAGAAGTGAAGCAGGCCAGTCGGTGTGGCTTCTGACTATGAGGTAAGTGGACATCACAGGTGCACACTCAAGGCCTCTGCTACTGCACTGTCCACAGAAAGCCTGCCTAACTCCCCTGGTGGAATTGAGAGAGACCACCTGTCATGGTCTTCACAGTCCTGAGGGGCCTGGTGAGTTAACATTCAACCACAGCACAGCAGCACCTACTGGCTGGGCAGAGCCACTGCTTATCTCTGCCCAAGGACATGAAAAATGTGCCTCCATCTGTGACAGCTCTATCTCGAAAACATTGTGCTATTTGACGTGACTCTTCTAGACCACAAGGAAGAATGTTAAGCTAATTGGAAAATTATCACTTTGAGTTTTCTCTTTACATGTTTGAAATAGGCTACTCCCAGCCCCACCCCCCCCAACACACCTATTTGAATACTTAAGCCTACAAGCCTTAATAATGTCACCTGGGCTTTCTCGATTAGGTCTCACCACCCACCACAGGTTTGAGCCTGGCCAGCCTGATCACAGAAGTATGATGCTGCTACCTTATAGGAAAGAAACCACACCTCAACACTGTGGCAAGGCTCTGCCAGTGTTACTCTCCTGACCGCCTGTTCTGCCCTCATTCCTATCCCAACCTCCTTGTGTGGCTTTCATTGCTCTCCCTCCGCTTCACCTGGCCAGATGCCCTGGCACTTAGGCTACTGTCTTTTCAGAAGAAGCCTCTGTCAGCACCTTCATGAGGACAGGTACGTACCACTTCTCAGAACTTGCACAATGCCACACGCAAGTTCAGCCTCGTTTGTCACTAGGAAAGGCTGGGAGGACCCAGCCTTCCTTTTGCTACACCACAGGTCCCTTGAGAACACGAACTCTGCCCTGCGAGCTAGCACAGAGCCTGAGGCTCACATGCATGGTCAGGGGGGTGATGGGGGAACTTCTGCACTGTTCCAGAGTTCAGTGCTGGGCTCTAGGGGGCCTAGAGCCCCTGCCTGCTGCTGTTGGCAACCATCAGGCCTGACCTAATGTCTGGGGACAGTAGGACCTTCTCCACAATTCTAGAAATCAGAGTCCAAATTCAAGCATGTTTCAGCTAACAATTAGATGATTTCTTCATAGCCTCTAATCTAGCTCTGCATCAGTTGACAATGGGTGAAGAATACTGAGCTAATTTAAACAAGCATTTTAACCCACATCAAAGGAATAATTACCCCAACTCTTTGTTTTGCACTTTTAATCCAATTTGTGTTCCACACAAGCCTGTCAGTGCTGT